TTTTTTTTAAATTTTTTGACCACAACTGGCAATGCTCAGGGGTTACTCTTGACTCTGTGCTCAGGAATTATTCCTGGCAGTGCTTGGGGGACAATATGGGATGCCCGTGATGGAACCTGGGTCGGCACTGTGCAAGGCAAAGACCCTCCCCACTGTACTATCGCTCCGGCCCCAAGCAGCATTCCAGTTTTAGAGGTATTTCCTTTATTAATATGCAGTTTATTGCCTATGTGGTAAACTTCTGGCTCCTTAAATTCTATCCTTGTAGAATTTTAGAACTTGTTCCCTCTCTTCTAATCTGCTTACCAGGTGCAGGTGTCTGACTCCAGGTGTGCTATTTCTGCATTGTCTGCTATTTCCTTTTTGGGATTTGTGCGTCTCTTCTCCTTGATCACCACCTTTGTGCTCAATAACAAAAAGAATGTTCCCACAGGGAAGAGGGTGGATGTTTCAGAACCATCCTGAAAATACTGTAATTCTAGATGCGCTTGGCGGGACTGGTGCTTTTTAGTTACGTTCATCGGATTAGGAAAGGTATCGAGTGAAGCAGACCTGATTTCGGATTTGGGTAGGTTATTGTCAATATTCCATTACCCTTTGTGTCTTTCAAATGCCCCCCACGTTGTTTTGTGAGCACTTTTCTTACCTGCTTTCATCTCCTACTTCCGGTAACTCCTTCCGTCTCTTTTGGCATCGACGACGAAGTAACTGTGGTGATAGACGTGATTCCTTGGCGTCCAGTTTTGAGGGCTACCCTAATTACTACCCAGGATGTGCCAGCTACTTGGCACAGAGTGAGCTCTCACTGCACCTTCTTGACAAACTCTAGAAAGCCGCAGGACTCGGAATGAAATAAATAATGGATCCTGAAAGCAATTTGACGAGAGGCTCATTGAGACCAGACTTAAATTGCTAAGTCCCTCCAATGAACCTCACACACAGACTGGAGAGAAAGATGCAGTCCCAAGAGAGAACAGACAGGGACCTGGGGAGAAGGTGCCCCTCCACATTCCCAGAGGGGCCAGAAGGGGTTTATGGGGAGGGTGGAGGCTTAGGCCATACCTGGGCGGGGGGTCTACATGCAAGGCAAGAACTTTAATCCCATGCTGTCACCCTGGCCCCTTTCCACCAACACTGAAATAGAGACAACTGATATTCTCTGAAGACCTGCTGTGTTTTATTTTTAGCAGTTATCGAATCTCTAGGCTGATCAGCTCTGTTCTACCATTATAAATGCCAGACTCGCAACGGCATGGCACAATACTAAATCATAACTTTGTGTTAAATTCTACTCATTGATTCTCTCGCTCGTTTTTCTATTATTGATCAAGCCAACAGGGACTGGTCAAGTGTTCTGGGCAAGACTGGGGGGCTTTCAGAGATCACCCCTGACTAAGACACCCCATTCCCAGGTAGCCTCCAGGCCACCAAGGACACAGTCCCTGAGCATGACAACCACGGTGTAAGGATGAAGGAACTTATGGGGTTGTGGGTGAGTTGGAACAGATGTCCAGAATTCAGTTCCCAGCACCCCACGTACACCACCTCTTGTGGCTTCAACTACTGATATGTGTGACTCTTGTGATAAAGAAAGTAAAATACTGAGGTTTTTTTTTGGGGGGGGGTGAAGGGGGGCATATCTACTGGTGCTCAGGGCTTCCTCCTGGCTCTGCACTCAGGAATCACTCCTGGCAAAGTTTGGATGACCATATATAGGGTACTGGGATTGACCCCCCAGTTAGCCGTATCAAGTCAACTGCCTAATCTGTTATATTCTAACTCCAGCTCCCCAGTTGAATGTTTATTTTATTTATTTATTTACTTATTTTTTATTAGTGGAACACCATGAGGTACAGTTATAGAGTAACAAATTTTTGTGCTTGGATTTCAGTTATACAGTGATCAAGTAGCCATCCCTCCACCAGTGCCCATTTTCCACCACCACGGGTCCCAGCATCCCTCCCACCCCCTATCCCCCCATCCCACCCTGCCTCTGTGGCAGGGCATTCCCTTTTGTTCTCTCTCTCTCTCTCTCTCTCTCTCTCTCTCTCTCTCTCTCTCCTTTTGGGTCCTGTGGTTTGCAAAAGAGGCACTGAGTGGCAATCATGTTTGTTCTATAGTCTACTTTCAGCATGCTTCTCCCATCCTGGGAGGATCCTCCCAACACCCTTTATTTGGTGCTCCCTTCTCTATCTGAACTACTTTTTCCCCCTAGCATGTGTGGCTGGCCTCCAAGCCATGGAGCAAAATTCCTAGTACTAATCTCGGCCACTCTTGGGTGTAAGTCTCCTATTTTGTTACTTTATATCCCCCAGATGAATGCAATCTTTCTATGTCTAGCCCTCTCTTTCTGACTCATTTCGCTTAACACGATACTTTCCATGTAGTACCACTTGTATGTAAATTTCATGACTTCATCTTTTCTAACAGCTACATTGTACTCCATTGTGTAAATGTACCAAAGTTTCTTTAACCAGTCATCTGTTCTCCAGCACTCAGGTTTTTTCCAGATTCTGGCGTTATCTCCTGACTCATAAAGTACCCTTAAAGCCCGTCAGACTGAAAGAAAAACACTGGTGGCTTGTTGAGGGAGGAAGTGCTGATACCAGCCGGTGGCACCGAGGAAAGCCTGGAAGTGAGCAGGTCCTTGAGGACAGAGCGTTGACCAGAACCAGAGAGTGGGTCCCAGGGGAGAAACACTGAGGTTCCAGCCTTCCGGTTTGCGAGTTACAGGAAGAACGGTTCGCAGGGGGTGGTGAGGGGGGAAGTAGCCCTGGGGGATAGCAGAGACGAAGCCTCCCATCACTGCAAGAGAACTGGGGCTCAGGGCGGAGGGGGGGAGATTTCCTTTAATTGTAGATGAAACTTTTAATTGTCTATGCTCAGGAAAAGAAGCAAGACTCTCATTCAAAAATTCAACTGGAAAGTCTCGACTGGACTTGGGTGCTCAGCAGCTAAACTACTAACAGTCGTTCAGGATTGGAACGATTTCATTCATTTTGGATGTTAAAGAAAGTTTTGGACTTTATAAACTTCCTTTCGAAACCTTCAAAAACACTTTTGGGTTGGAGGGAGAATCTAGCCAATAAGGCACTTGCCTTGCATTTGGCTGGGCCAGAGTTCATCCGATAGCCCCCTTTAGTCCCCCGAGTCTCTCCAGGAATGATCTCTGATCACAGAACCAGGAAAAAACTGTGATAACTGCAGGGTACACCCCCCCAATAATCCCAAATAATTAAAAAAAAACCATAAAAACAACCATAACATGGCTAAACTTCGTTTTGTCTGGTTTAGGGGTCACATGCAGCAGTGTTCAGGGCTTACCCCTGGCTCTGTGCTGAGGGTCACTCCTGGAAGGGCTCAGGGACAATATGGGGTTCCAGAGACCAGTATGGGGTGCCAGAGATCAAAGTAGGGCTAGTTATCTGCAAAATAAGCACTGTACTATCTCTCTGGCCCTTTACATGCAAAACTTAAAAACAAAAACAAAAAACAAAAACCAAGGCAAAACTATCTCATACTGGCTACAGACTGTTGTCAGCATCAACTAACTTCTGTATATTTGAAAAAAGAACCTATTTTTATCCTATTATCCTTGGGCCTGACCTTCTTGTCTTTCTTGAAGACAGGTTCCCAGCATGACATAAAGGAAGCTAGGGACATCAGTGAAAGAGAAACATATTTTGCTAGATATGCTGTGGAGAAATTGTTCGGGCTTTGGAGTCTGATCACACTGTGCTCCAAGCCCAGACTGAGTCTTGTTCATGGTACAGTCTTGGACGAGTTGATTCGGTTTCTTTCCCGTTTCTTTGAAGAAATAATCCCTTTGCCTTGAAATACATGGCTGTTTTCAGAAAGGGAAGACATCCTTGTCTTTCTTTTATAAAATGACCTGTGTAATTTGACTCAGTTTTACTGCTTTGTGTTGGTTTCTGTCAGTAAATAATCAGTAAATGGTATAAGATTAACTGCTTTAGCATTTAAAAAATATTAACTGTCAAGATCATGAACGATCGGTTTGAGGCCCTTCATGTTCCCGGAGCGAACAGATGCCATTGGGCTACACTAGCACGCGACAGGGACAAATGGAGACATTACTGGCGCCCGCTCGAGCAAATCGACGACTAACGGGAAGTTAAGTGATTAAGTGATTAACTGTCTTAGGGGCTGGAGAGAGAGTCAGATAGATACAGCAGATAGGGTGCTTGCCTTGCACGCGGCCAAACCAGATTTGATCTTCAACATCCCATATGGTCCTCCAAGCCTCCCAAGAATGATTCCAGAAAGATCCATGGCTGCAATAACCATATCATACAAATTCAGTGATTAAATTCAGTATCATATGTGGACAGGACTCACAGTACCCCAAAGCAATCACAGCTTCTTCAAAATCTCTACAAACAGGGCCAATTAGTTTATCAATGAACATAAATTGCCATTCAGCATGTAGATTCCATATAGTCTTTTAATCCAAGGCGTAAATAACAAATACACAAGTCGCTTTTGAAATGTCCTGTGTAAGATAGACATGAGGCTTACTGAAATGCACTTAAGCAGATAAAGGACATAGACGCTTAATAAAAGTTCACTCATGATAGTACACAACAAAACACTCACGGCTCTAAGTTGCTTCTAATACCAGCAAGCAAGCACAACAGAGAACTGAATTTAAAAAATATTTGGACTGAGTCAGGCACAAGATTCTATGATTTAAAAATAGCATTGGACATCATTTCAGAAATCTGGTGTAACAATGTCATTGCTTAGCTGTGGAACTTAATAATTGCAGTCTTTCCAGATATTTAGAATCATATATTTCCACTCAGTTTTTAGTTTACCAAGTTGCCAACTGCCATTTTCTCTTTTGTTCCCAAACTCTGATTATAAAGAAATTATTTTTAAAAACTTAAATAAATATCTATAGCAAGAACATTTCATTTTAAAAGATGCCACCTTTTAAAATAACGGGTTTTTTATTGAGTATTGAGTTTAAAGCAATTCTTAACGTGACAATTTGTATATACCACCACAAACTTGGCACTCACACAGAGCCATAAAGCCACACTAGAAGTGAAAAGGCACTATTGAGTGACACAGCAGATCACTAAGTATTCATACACAAGACTACAAGAACAGTTGGGGTATAACGCCACTACAGGGGTAGGTAATGCAGTGGTTCTCTGTTTAACATCTCAGCTGTGTTCCTCTTGCCGTAAGTATTGGACCCCACATTGGTCGAAGGAGGAATGGCACCGATGTTGTTGCTGGAGCGAGTTAAGAAGTTTGTCAGGCGCTGAGTTGCACATGTGACCGTGTTGCATTTACGCTTCTCCATCTGATGACTAGTAACACCAAAGAGAGGTTAGAGACTTGGACAGCAGCCTGCGTTCAGCCAGGTTACACCAAGCAGATCATATTGATGAAAACGTTAAGGGGGACATTTTCACATAAGTAACCCACTGTCTTTGTTGACAAACAGCTAGAGGAGTGACTTAGAAGCTGTGGATAGGTTATAGATGAAGGAGAATCAAGTGTTTATCTAGAAAGTCATAAAATAGCTGAGCAACAGTTTTTCAGGTAAGGTGCTTGCCCTGCAAATAGTCAACCTCGTTTCTATCCCCAGCACCCCAGATAGTCCCCTGAGCCCCGCCAGGAGTGATCCCTGAGCACAGAGCCTACCCACACTTATCCGCTGCACGTAGGGGTTTTATTACTCTGCAAAATACTGGAACATTATGTTCCTTTTCCCACCTATTTCGTTTGTATGATTTCAACTATTTTAATGCTAAGATCAGGTAAAATGATAAAGTCACAAGACTTCCCCTTCATGGTATTAATAGTCCCCACATTCTTCCGCTTGAACCAATTGCATGAAAATATTATTAGGCTAGTAAAAACTGGTTACCATGCTTGAATGCTAGGTAATAGTGCTAATTGTCCTATGATCCTTCAATAACTGATCCAACTTTTAACTTTCTATTTGCTGCATATATTTGTATTAGCTCTCTATATTGTCTCACCATTTGTTGCAATATTCTTGCAACATGGTATTGAAAATAGATACAGAACAATAATGTTGGACTTCCTTCTGCTAAGAAAGTATATTTGTTTCAGTTCCACTGAGGTAAAATTATTGATGAAATTTAAACTAAGTATTCTGTGGCAAAGAGGCGTAGCTATGCTGCTATGTATATATATTGCTCTCTATCTCAATATATTTATATATCTATATATAAAATTGGGAGAAGAGATAATGAATTTCATCCCAGTATATTCATTTTCTTCATCTCTTTACAGTACAAGCTTAAGAGTAAATGTTTTTAAATTTCACCTGAAACTTTCTAATTTCAGTCTCATGTTTCCTCTTTGATATAGAAAATTTCTCTTAAATTTTTGGGAATTGAATTAAACAATTGGATAATTAAATGAGTTGAGTGTCTGCAGTTAAGGTGTTCAGACAAAGGAAATCTATTTTGGAACTTCACATATATCAATCTCGTTCGTGTTGTCTTTTATTTCTTTTTGCATGTGCAGTATGCATACTCACTATGCATTTCCAAAGGATAATTAAATATTTTTAGGAACTAAACCACTTGATTTATACACTGGCTATTGGATTTTAAAAGATGGTAAAATTTTCCTGAATAAAAAAAAACAGTAGGAATTGGGATTTGATTAAAATACTCTAAACTGTTAAATTTAGGGGGCTGGAGAGACAGCACAGTGGGGAGGGCATTTGCCTTGCACGCAGCCAACCCAGGTTCGATTCCCAGCATCCCATATGGTCCCCTGAGCACCGCCAGGAGTGATTTCTAAGTGCAGAGCCAGGAGTAACCCCTGTGCATCTCTGGGTGTGACCCAAAAAGCAAAAACAAAAACAAAAAAACATAAACTGTTAAATTTAGAACAATGCAGGAAATTGTGGGTCAAAGAATGAGGTTCAAAGGAATATATCTCCCAATAGTCTGGGTAAACGCCTGAGGAGGTCTGTGAAATATTCTATATACTGAATGTCTGAATGCTAAACATCTGTATGTCGAATTCTGAGCTTTGAGAATTTGGTTTCGTTGTCCATTTGTGAATTCTTAGGGTGTCTTGGTGACTATAAAGAGCTTGAAATTCCTATAATTATGGTTTGTTTTTAACCCTCTGATTATCTTCCCTGAGGTACTTTTAACAGTATAGGAAAATGAGTGGGCAAGTGTGTGATACCTTTATCACACAAAACAATTATTTTTAGGTGGTTTGTAAAGTCAGTTACTTTTTAATCCTGTATCATGTAGATATAAAAATAAAAAAAGCTCTCAATATGATTGATTTTGGATGAGAAAATGATAATAAATAACCTATCTGCATCAGTTTTTAAAAATATGTTGTAGGCTATTAAACTGCTCAGAATGATAAATACTCCCCCCTCCATTTGGAAAGATGACCAAATATACTTATTTCAGGGAAGTCATTAAAAGCAATCTGAAGAATGGTTTACCAGTATTTCTAATAACAATTCAGAGTAAGAGATTGTGAAGCTGGCATGAAAATTAAATAATTGATGCTATTACACAGTATTCTATATCGGAGTGATGTTCATTTCATAATTAATGAAGGTCCTTAAAGACATAGCAGTGAAAGTACTTAACAAATGTCTATCACTAAGGAAAGAAAAGGGATATATAGAAAAAAATGCTAGGTAGTAGTGCTAATTTTCTGTGATCCTTCAAATGTTCTGCTAGTTCATCAGACACTTCGTAGCAGGTTTAAAGTTATTTTTATGCATAAAAATTTAAAATGTACTGTATTCCAAGATGAATATTCTGTGCAAATAAATAAATAAATGATTCTGTGATTTCTGCTAGTTATTACATGCAGGTGTTCTAGAAATCTTTAGATATTGCTAGAGACTCCCTCCTCCACCAAAATTATCCTATAGGAAATCTAGATGAGATGTTGACAATGGAGAGAAAAACCTAATCTTCAATGACCCCAAAGGAACCCGTACCAAAGGCAACTCAGTGATCCCAAGTCTTACTACATAAGTTGCAAGGTCAGTCCCACAAGACTGCATGGATTAAAATGGATTTAGACACAAGCTAGTCCCTCTCACATTATTTATGACATATGTATGAGTCCGGGCTTAAGGCAGTTGATTAATAATTACAGTCGTAAAGACTTTCCACTTGCAAGTTGAATTGCTTCTAGCATTTCCAACTGACATCCTTTTTAGATTCCCTTAATATTCTTATTTAAATAACACCACATTGTTGAAAAGGAAATCTTCAAAAGGTTTTTGTTTTTTGTTTTCTCTGATTTCAGGAAAGTTATGAGAAGCAATTTGAGCTACACCCAGCAGTGTTGAGGGGTTATTCCTGGCTTCACATTCAGAAATTACTCCCGATGGGGCGAAGTCGGGGACGGGTGGGAAGGGGGGAGAGGGCATTATGGGGTAACAGGATGAAAACCTGGGCTGACTGTGTGTAAGACAAGCACCCTTCTGAGCGTACCCACCCTACCCATTTGTCTAGCCTTGAAAGAAATTTTGATAGATTTGCTTCCAGCTGAAAACATTTTTCAAGAGTTTTTAATTTATGTTTGGAGAAACTCTGTAGAATTTTTACAAAGTATAAGTTAATAATAAGGGGCTGGAGCGATAGCACAGCGGGTAGGGCGTTTGCCTTGCATGCGGCCGACCCGGGTTCAAATCCCAGCATCCCGTATGGTCCCCTGAGCACTGCCAGGAGTAATTCCTGAGTGTAGAGCCAGGAGTAACCCTTGAGCATCGCCGGGTGTGATCCAAAAAGCAAAAAATAATAATAAACTGTCACTGTCACGGTCCTCCTGTTGTTTATCAATTTTGCTCGAGCAGGCCCAGTAACGTCTCCGTCGTGAGACTTGCTGTTACTATGTTTGGCATACTGAATACGTCACGGGTAGCTTGCTAGGCTTTGCCGTGAATAATAATAATACTAATAATAATAATAATTTTGCTTAGTTAATAGAATAGCTAACAAAATAGACAGGACTCCTCTCATGCAAAGTTTTTCAATAGTTATTTTCAATTTAACTTAGGAAATCTTTGGACTTGTCTCCGTCCCATCCCTTTCCCCATTGTTTCCATTTATGTCAATTTCCAGAAACAGATGTGAAAGTCTGGGATATTGCCAGAGTCCTCTAAGGGAAAAAACAAAGGTTTATAAATATACAACAAATTTCCAGCTGAAAAAAAAATACATCCCTTAATTTTCTTCAGTTTGTTTGTGAGTCGCATTAATAAAGTAGAAGTGATTACCTTTGGGTGTTTCCTCCTTCATGTTGTGGCTTTGCCTCTCGAAGTTCCAACAGCATATTTCGTGTCAAAACTGGATCTGTCCATTCCTGGCTGTCAGAAGTCCCACCCAAGAAAGTCACCCGTTACCGACATTACTCTTTGAAGAATGCACAACTCAAGCAGTGGTTCAACAGCTTCAGTTACTATACTTAGCGCCATTTAGTCAGCAATCTGATGGCACAAGGGCTGTTAGATAACATTGCAGCATTTATTTTTTTTTCCTTTTTCCACTCTAGTAGAGAAGCAGAATCTAAAATTACTAACCTTTCAATGGATGTAGCTTTCAGATGATGAAACGCAACAGACAGCACAGCAAGGGCCACCGGCAGCTTCACGGTGTACATTGCCCCTCAGATGGTCTGAAAAGAAGAATTTGGTCTTGAAACCAAGCAGTTTCCTTCCTTCCTTCCTTCCTTCCTTCCTTCCTTCCTTCCTTCCTTCCTTCCTTCCTTCCTTCCTTCTCCCTCCCTCCCTCCCTTCCTCCCCTCCCCCCTCCCTCCTTACATTTTTTGTTTTTCATATGTGGACTAACCTGGGTTAGTCACATGTAAGGCAAATACCTTACCTGCTGTACTATTTCTTCAGTTCAAAATCAAGCAATTTCTCTTATCTCTGGCTTATAGAATTTTAATCTGGATCCTACTTAGAAAATTAAACACACACACACACACACACACACACACACACACACAAATCCACGATCTCTTAGGATCTTAATCTTGTGGACCTAGTCCCTTAAACTGTTCAACTTTCTAATTCTTCACATTCCCCTTTTCTTTTACCCTTTCCTTGAAAGAAGTCGCCTATTGAATCCCACTCCTGCTCTTTCCCTGAACAGGAAGCTCTCTACCTTCCAATGGGTCCGAGTTGGCAATGTCAGAAAATGGCTTTCGAGAGCAAGGAAGCGTCCCCAGCTTCCCTCCCCTGCAGGGTTCTGGCCAGGCTCTGAAGAAGGCAGCTCCTATATAGCCTCCCCACCCCCTCAGAGCTGACATCAGGGGGTTCCCAGAGCCTCTGTCATCGTTTCCACCCCTGCAGATAGAAAATGCCTCACACAGCAGAGACAGATGGGCCAACCCACACTCACCTCAGTAAATAACGTAAATCTCACTGGAGCCCTGGGAGCGCCTGTGTGAGAGACAGTGGGTTCCACAGGCAGCGCCCAACAGCGACAGAAGGTGCAATTTGCTCTTTGTGAAAGACCAGGATGATTTTCAAGGTTTCAATAATATCGTCTAGGGAAGAATGGGTGGCTGGGAGGGGGGTGTGATGGAAAATTATGGCAAATAGATTTTGTTGTAAGGAGGGAAGCCAGGAGCATGGAGGAACCTAATTGCTAATTAAATGAAAATAACCCCAAGAACTTCGTGGGATGCGCATTCAGCAGTACATTGAGATACACAGATGAGGTGTATCAGACAGGATCTAAAAGAAACAAGAAACTGCTTATGAAGGGAGGGAGGGAGGAGAACAGGCATAATAACACCAATTTTTAATCCACAGATTCTTTTTTAGTATATGAATAGACGTTGCTATACAATTAGTGAAAAAAGTTATTATTATTTTTTTACTGATACCTCCACCCTTATTTTATAAGAGAATCACAATTGTTTTCAAGAAATAGGGTTTTATTTCTCCTCCAAATCATTCTTTCTTGAAAGAAAGAATGATTTGGAGGAGAAATGGGCTTATATTTATCTACATTACATTGAAATTGGTATTTGGAGTTACAACTTGATGTTAAATATGGAAAAAACAGACAAGTGAAAATCTGAAGATCTGTGTCATCTAGAAAAGTTGGAAGTTCTAGCAAAAAAATTAAGTTTGCTGATTCCATGTACTTCTGAAACGTTTACTAAAGGTGTCAGGTGGGGGAGAAACAAACTTTTTAAAACCTTGCTCTCTTTATTCAGTGATTTTTGCAGTTTTGATATTTCTGTAAGATTTACTGATGTTCCAAAAGGAAAGAAAACAAAATTAACATCATTTGGAAGAGTAATGAATTCCTCTAGGGGAAAAAAAATAGAAATGTATTTGACAGAGTGCTTCTAGTGATTTAGAAATAACGCAAAAGCCCAGAGAGGTCAAACAACTTATTTGATAGCACACAGCTTTCTTCTGAATGCTGGACGAAAACTCTGCTTTTCGTGGTCCAGTCTTCATTTATATTGCCTACTTTCTAACCTACATACTCTTGATATTTATTTTGTCGATGTTTTTATTTTGAGATAGTAAGGTTCTAGACATAATATCCAGAAACTGATTCTCTCACTTCCCCAATCCCCACGGTAGATGGACATTATAAGGAAAATTTTACTTTTCTTTTCTTTTTTCTTTTTGGGTCACACCCAGTGATGCACAGAGGTTACTCCTGACTCTGCACTCAGGAATTACTCATGGAGGTGCTTGGGGGACCGTATGGGATGCTGGGAATCGAACCTGGGTCGGCCACATTCAAGGCAAATGCCCTACCCGCTGTGCTATCGCTCTAGCCCCTATAAGGAAAATTTTATACCTAAGGAAAAACCAGGAGGACCCTACACCTTTAAAGGACAATATATGCTTGGGGCCATGATCTAATTGGTGTGTGAGTCCAGCTTTATTTATTGATTTATTTATTTTTACCGCAGGGTGGGTACCATTTGCCCCAGTCAATAGGTCATGAAGCAGACCCGAGGTGCCTATTGTGCTTAAGTTTGCACAACTATTCAGGGGCAGAGCAAAATTAATAATTTTATGTCTCAATTACAGGCTATTTTTTAAAAATTTGTTCACCAGCATCTTTATTCCTTGAATTGCAGATATTTCCTGGAAATTTGTATTTTAACCTAACATTTTGATGGTTTTTGTTACAGTCTGATGCTATAACTTGCTGATCTTGTATACTGTTTGGTAAGATCAACATCTGGGCTGGAGCGATAGTACACTGCGTAGGGCACTTGCCTGTGGCTGACCTGACATTCTATCTAGTCCCCTGAGCACTGCCAGGAGTAATTTCTGAGTGCAGAGCCAGGATTAAGCCCTGAGCATCACTGGGTGTGACCTCAAAATAAAACATTTAGTTCAAATGGCTTTGGGGTGCCTCAGTTCCTGCATGGATGAGGTTGAGCGGGGCTTGTGTGTTCTTGGGTCTTCTTTAGGAGGTAGCCCAGTGCTGTGTTGCAAGCTCCTTCCTACAGGGAGACATTGTCCTCCCCCTATGTGGACTCCCTGAGTGAGTGTTGCTAGCCAAAAGTGAGAGTCCAGGCAGCGCTGACGTCACCTCAAAACCAAGGTGAGGTGCCAAGGCCAAATCAGCCAAATCCCATCATGTATTTTAAAGAAGGTTTTCTCAGGAATTGTATGTCCGTGGGAGTTTGAGAAAACAGAGCTAGTATGCATACTATTCATTTATTGACTCAAGTACCAATTCAAGACCACTCTGAGTCAGGAAATATTCTAGGTATGAGAAAAAATAAACAATAGTAAGTGAACAGGAGAGCCCTCTACACTCAAGCAGGTACAGCTGAGGGAAGGACACCAAGACCCAGAAACTCAATAAATAGTTACAGTGTTCACTGTTACGGAGTAAGATTACCGAGGCAGGGGATGGGTAGAGGAAGGAAACTTGACCTCCTTAGAGTTGAGTCCCAAAATGTCAGAAACCACTAAGGAAAGATGAATGAGTGAGATAGGGTGCTTTCCTCCAACCATCCGGGCAGAGTTCTCTGTCAGACATCACTGGGTTTAGAGGCCATTAGTAAATAATCACCAGGAAGCATTTTACCATTGGTTTAAATAGTGATAATCTAACTCTGTTATTCTGTCTAAATTTTATCAGCTGAAATTCTTTAGCAAAAAAAAAGCATCTTTTTTTTTTTTGGCTTTTTGGGTCACACCCAGCCAATGCACAGGGGATACTACCTGGCTCTGTACTCAGGAATTACTCCTGGTGGTTCTCAGGGGACCAGATGGGATGTTGGGAATCGAACTCAGGTCGGCCGTGTGCAAGGCAAACGCCCTACCCGCTGTGTTATTGCTCCAGCCTGGGAAAACATCCTTGATGAATGCTTTATCTGCTCTGAGTTCAGTTGAGTTCACTTTTATAGGAAACGCAGGATAGATAACAGACTTTATTCACACACCCTCCAGTACGTATGCGTGCACACACACGCATACACGCATACACACGCACACAAGCAGACACACACACACACATGCACACATGCACACATGCGCACACACGAATTTGAGGGGAGTTTAGTTTTGGCTGGATGTGATGAGACAGAACTCTGCAGTGGAGGAAGAAGATAGGGTCTTACGGGAGAAACTTGGTTTCTTTGCTTCCCTGAAGGAAAGAATTCAGTCCGGAGACTAAGCTAAAATCTGAGCTAAAAGAAGCAGTGACGAAAAGACCTTGGTCACTGCGGAAAAGAAAGCTGCACTGGCCCTGCTGTACCCACGCGCTTTGTTGGAGACATAATTCAAGGGCAAGACAATTCATCATAGAGAGCTTTAGAGTCACACACTGGGTTCTGGGGACAAAGATTTTGAGGAATGATGCCGCTCTCGGAGAGGACAAGCAGGGACTGATGCGTGTCTTGTGACGAGGATGGGACAAGCTCGTGCGCAGATGGACTGTGCGCTTGTGCACGCTCAGTGTGTGCCCTGAGCATCTCTCCGGGTTGGTAGCAAGGGGCTGTGTGTGATAATAACCATTTGAGGCTTAAAGAGGAGAAAAGCATAACAGGGTCAGAGAGCTATTCACTTGAGCATGTGCCAGTAACGGGCTGGACCTGGTTTTCCAAAGCGTTTTGTATTTGGAAGTTGGGAACCTTAAGGCTACTCATGGTTCCTCATCAGGACGCATGAGCTGGTCCTTCCTGTTCCTTAGAATAATTTCCCCACCCTGCCTCGCCTGGAACAACTTGAACAACGGAAGCGTTTGGTCCCTCCGGTGGAACAGCTGATGCCAGCAGTCAAGGGTCAACAGCACTGGATCCTTCTGGGAACCGGTTTTTTGTGCCACTCCATCAACTGCTGGGTTTGCTGATTCACAGATCAGTCTTCGTAACCTCGGCCGCCAAACTTTTCTATGAACTACATCTACGGGAATTCCCAGTATGGTTCCATTGGAGATACCATTAGCACATTAATCTATGGTCTGGAGGGATTCATCATTCAGTCCATTTTCTGGCAACTCTGATATTTGGGGAGGGCGTCATAGCCAGAGCGCTTAAAGGTCCTTCCCCAGGCGCTCAGGGGCCCATGAGCTGCAAGAGAGAATTAGGACTCCTGCCCCAAAAGCAAGTTCTCCAACCATGGAGCTATTTCTCTGACCCTAATTTGGCTCTATTTGGGGGTCACACCCTGCGATTCTCAGACCTTACTCTTGGCTCTGCACTCAGGAATTACTCCTGGTGGTGCTCAGTGCTCAGGGACCCATATAATATGCTGGAAATCAAACCTGGGTCAGCTGCATACAAGGCTAGCTATCACACTATGTCTCCAGTCCCTCATTAAAAAAAAATTAATCCTCTAATTCAATGGGTTCACGAAATGTTCCTCAGTGGAAGAACTTTTTATTGCTTTGTGATAAAAATGGAGAAATTTTTTTTATTGTCTGTATTATTTTTTTACTTTAGAATCTATTAGGGCTGGAGCGATAGCACAGCGGGTAGGGTGTTTGCCTTGCAGCCAACACGGCTGACCCGAGTTCAATTCCTCTGCTGCTCTCGGAAAGCCTGGCAAGCTACTGAGAGTATCTTGCCTACACGGCAAAACCTGGCAAACTACCCATGATGTATTCGATATGCCAAACACAGTAACGACAAGTCTCACAATGGAGATGTTACTACTGGGTCCGCTCGAGCAAATCAATGAACAATGGGAGGACAGTGACAGTGACAGTGACAGAATCTATTAA